AGCCAGGCGGATCTCTGTGAGTTCGAGGCCAACCTGGGCTACCAAGTGAGTTCCAGGAAAGGCGCAAAGCTACACAGAGAAACCCTGTCTCAAAAAACCCCAAAAAAAAAACATAGCATTGTCAAGCAAGCGAACAGTAGCTGGTCCATTAGAATCACACTATATTCCAGGCAGTGCACTAAGCATGTCGTGCCTCATATATTCCACCATGTAGCCCTTTGGGGTGACACTGTCATCAGCTGCAATAAACAGATAAGAAAACCGAGGTTCACAGAAATTACAGTGTCTTTCCAAAGAATTTCTAAGTGCCAGAGGCCACATCAGAACCCAGACCTGTTTTATTCTTCAGGTATCCAAGCTTGGGCCAAATTCTTGTCTTTCTCCCACAAACTCCAAAATTTTTTAATATTTCAACATACACTGTGTCTAAGTTCCTATTTCTCCTTTATTTAACTTCAAACAGAACTTGAAATTCCGTGGTGATACTACACAAATCAATGGCTACGTTGTTTTTTTTATTCTAAGTACCACATGACCAGACACGTTACAGTCAGGGGAAGCAGGGGCCAGGGTTCCCTTCAGGGATGAGAAACAGAGGCAGGGTAGTAGAAGGCCTTGCTCTTGAACTTGTTAGTGATGTAACCAGGACCAGAGTCCAGGTCTCTCAGCTTCCAAGTTGAGTATTTCCCATGCTCCCTCTTGGGCAAGGTGTAAAGAGATGCTGTGGACTCAAACACATGGACTAAATTCTGTATATAAGGATAAATCGTATTTATTGTGCACAGAACATCCCTAAGGATTTTAGTGCATTTTCATATTTTAACTTACTTAGTAAAGGTATTTTGAACAAAGAAGAGAGACCACCTATACCTATTCCTCATACACACCTGGCGAGTGCCTGGTACTCAACAACTGCTTGGCACATTTGTTCAAGGAAGTAAAGGTTTATAATTCTCAGGAAGATCGCTTAATCTCTCTTTTTACAGGAAAGAAGGGGAGAGAAAAAGAGAGAGGGGAGGATATAGAAGAGGAGAGGAGGGGAAGAGAGAGGGAGAAAGAGAGAGGGAGGAAAGGACAGACAGACAGGGGCAGAGACGGAGACAGAAAAACAGGAGTAGAAATGGACCCCAGGATGTAATACTCTAGACCAGCCCAACTTTGCTAAACTTAAAGTTATTTCAGTTGAGAAAGATGAGCATTAGGGATGATCACACGGCATACTGACTTCAGGTGATATGCCCTAGTGAAATGTCCCCTCTTCCACTCTGTCACTCCATCAGGCATTGCTAATAGAACACAGCAGTTTCCCTTCCTCCAAGCAACTCCCATTAACCCATCAGAACTGATACACATACTTCAATCTACTTGTCGCCCCTGGTGACAATAAATTGCTTGTCTCTGTGGCCCTGTGGCCCTCGTGGACCCAGAACCACTGTAAGCTGTTTGTTTCTTTCTTTGACTCGAAGAGTTCAAGAGGATGTGATCTCTAAAGCTGTTCTTTGGGGCCGACTGCTCTGATGGAAGCCTTGCTTGTGGGACCTGAACGGGTTACTCGGAGACTGTGAACCCCCTCAGATCCCTTTATGAGTAATCTTGGAACTGATGTTCAGAATTAGTTAAAACAGCCTTGTCCCTGGAAGGATTGAAACAAAATAATTCTAAAGATGGTCCGAGTCTTATTACTGGCTTCTCTACCTACATGGAATAAAACAAGATCTCTGAAACAAACGTCCATGTGTTCAAAGGCTTCAAGAAACCGTGACTTCACACTGATAGTTGAAGAAATTGGGAACCCTCTTTTGCTTACAACCACAGCAGGCCATGTGAGCACACTTGAGCATTTTCTAAAAATGGACCTTTAGAGCATATCAGGATTTTGAAACAGAACTTTTTATAACTATATATAATTATGGCACACTTGATGTAGCCACACATGTTAAACTTTTATAAAAACGTAATACCATTGACCCCTTGAGCTGATTAAAATTAAAGCGAGCCCTTTTTATTAATGCACATGATAGAGGAAAGCAGCTGAAAGGGCAATAAGAAGCCACCTGATGGTTAAATGTTGTCCTGGCTCCACACTGTGTCATTTTCAATGTCATTATTCACAGTTCTGAATCACAGTGTCTGACTAGGTGTCTACTGAGAGGATGTTTAAATCATAACTGCTAACCAATACAAGAGCTCGACATGAACAGCCTGGATTGGGACGGTAACACATGAACATAGCATGCTACTTGAACAAAAGGGGAAAAGCATCCGGAAGTGAGGCTGAAGAATTTAAACAACCCATGCGCCAGCAAGATGGCGCAGCTGGTAAAAGTGCTTGCAACCGAGCCTAAGGACCTGAGTTCAACCCCTAGATCCCACGTTGTGGAGGAACAGAGCCGATTCCTACAGGTTGTCTTCTGACCAAGACACACACACACCATAGACACACACACACACACATGCATGCACACACACACACACACACATACACACACATCACATGCATGCACACACACACACATACACACACACCACATGCATGCACACACACATGCTCATACACACACACTAAATATTTTTAAATGTTTACAGAGTTGAGCCAACTTGAACGAATGTGCACATTGACGCTATTATTGTTCTTCAGGGAGCATGCCAGCTTACACAACACCAGTGCTGAAGCCAAATGAGAATGATGTATTCCTGGGTAGAACTAAGCCCAATGGCAGACAACTTTCACTACAGGGGATCAAAAAATTGAAAGGAGGTGACTGTTTTTGCTTTTGTTTGTTTGTTTGAGATCCTTGCTATGTAGCACAAGCTGGCCTTGAAGTTGGTTTTCTCTGGCCCACCCTCATGAATGCTGGGATTACAAGCACACGACTATGTTCTGCTCTGTTCTTTTGCTTTTTTAAATACCATACATATTTAATAGAATTCTTAGAATCAGAATAACTTCTATGAACCCTAAGGAAGAAAAAAGTTGTGCTTCAGACACAAATTGTATCAAAAATGTATGAGACCAAATAGTTATCAGTCATGTTGACATGAGTGGGTGCTTAGGTGTTGGGCACTTTTCTAACACTTCACACAGTCCTTCTCCACAATAACCCTGCAAGGTCAACACTCCGGCCGGAAGAAATGAGGCAACACTTACCCAAAGGTGCCCACTGGTCCCCAGCAGCTTGCTCTACTGATACTGCAGTTTTGTTTTGTTCTGTTTAAACACTGAGGAAGAGAACCAAGACCTTCTCTTCTACCTGTAAACTGGGATGGGAAAGAGTCAGTTAAACAAACAGATAATTTTGCTTTAAATCAAAAACAGAGCTAAGCTATCCTGACACTTGTCTTTAAAAGTTGTATTAGCAGAACCTATAATAATTTAAGTAGAAACGACTACCTTTTTTTTTTTTTCAAGACAAGATTTCTCTGTGTAGCTTTGGCTGTCCTGGAACTCACTCTGTAGACCAGGCTGGCTTTGAACTCAGAGATCCACCTGCCTCTGTCTCCCAAGTACTGGGATTAAAGGCGTGCACCACCACCCACCATTCTTTTTTTTCTTTTTCTTTCTTTTTTTTCTTTTTCTTTCTTTTTTTCTTTCTTTCTTTCTTTTTTTTTTTTACATAATTATGCTGAGGCTGACTTGTACAGTTCTAATGCAGGAAGAGACACAAAACACAAATGATGCTAATGATACAGAAGATCAGGCACTGAGATCAGATGGCCATCCTTGCTTCACTCCATGGAAAGTTTCTGATCTTTGCTTTCCCTGTGTCTCTTTATGCAGCACAATCCCTGTCTAGCTAAAAGCCAGCACATTACCATCCATTGACTACAGCCCTGCGAAACTTCCATGACCAAAGTTTATGTGCATGTTGGCATACACAGGTAGCCACACCAGATGGGACTAGACTGCCACCACGAGAGTGCCTGTGTGGCTGGCTTATGTATCATTCCACCACCCACCTGAGCTCTAACGACAGCCTTGCTGACACTGTCTGACCTAGGCTGACAATCTGGATAGAAATCGTAGGGTTGGCTGTTCAATGGCTGTGACTTTTACCAGCACTGCTTTTGGGCCTCAAATCAATTCTCTCTGTTTACAGACCATTTCACAGCCCTTTACCTGCAACATCACTGGTGTCAGCCTCATAAATACTTAGGTGTATATAATGCTTGAATTAGCATAATAGTCTAGGCTCGAAGCTCTTAGCCCAAAGAAGGACACGTCAACATGCTCTCTTCACTTAAGCAATTAAGAGCCATTATGCTGCTTCAGTGGAAATATCATCAAGGTTAAAGACAATCCCGAACAGCCCTCTCACCTTTTTATTCTAAGTCTAATAAATGAGCCATAGAAATTGAAATGTTAGTAAACAGTCCTACTTGCAAGCTCTTTCTGGACCATGCTTAATCAGATCCTCAGTCAGCAGTCATTTGCAGCGGATTTAGAAACGTGCATGCTTAAATTGTTCATTTGGCGCAAGAAAATTGAGTGCACTGGTTTAATTTCAAAGTCACAGTGGACACTAATGCATCTTTTGCCAGATTTAAAATCTTTTCAGTACTAAGTCACATAAAAATATCCCTGCATTCTATTCCTGGCAACAATAGCGGTATTTCTGAACATGATAATGATGTTGTAACTTTTAAATGTTTAGTGTGTGTGTGTGCACACACACACACATGTGTCCACACAGCCATCACAGGACGGCTTTGAGAAGGCAGTTCCCCCTTTCACGTGAGTTCTGGTGATCAAGCTCAGGTTGTCAGGCTTGCTCAGCACTTTCCCCCACTGGACCACCTCACCGCTCCTGCTGTGAGGTTTAAACAGAGGAATAGTTCCCAAGTCTTTCCATATTGTTTTCTTCTAACACCTTTTTAAAAATGGCGTTACTGAATTATAACTTATAGCTAATGTTCAATTTAAGAACACAGTTTGATGAGTTTTGGGAAATGTGCAGAGCTGAGGAATTACCATTCTAGTCAATGTCCTATCACCATAATTGAAAAAAGAAAAAACCCTTCTAGTGGGCCCCTTCCCTACTTATGGTACCAGCCTTGGACCACTGGCTTTCCCTTCTCTAGGACTTCAGACAGCTAGAATCTTACAGTACCTGGTCTTCCATACTTGGCCTCTGTATTTCTTTATGTATTTTTTCTCTCTAGACATTAGCTGTAGAAAGCAATGCGGTGGGAAACCCACGCTGGATGGGCTCTACCATGGTGCTAGCTATGGAACTCCCTGGTCTGCAGTTTCCTTTTCTGTGGAATGGAGGACTCCACAGAGTTGAGAGGTCTGAAAAAAATCAATGACTATGTCCTTGGATAAGGCATCTGGACAATGCGCCGCAGATGTTAGTCCCTCGGACTGGCCATGCTCTGTCCAGCTGTTTACCTCATTTGCCAGCTGCTCCTCTCAGCGCTCACTACTACGACTGATTCCGGTGACTGCCAAAGGCATGGGGAGCTTCTTCAGGCTCTGGCAATATTCTGTAACGTGACTGTAACGGTGAGTACACAACTGTACACATTTGTCAAAACTAATCAACGACACACTTAAAACTGAGCGGAATGTAATTACATAAAATTATAATAAAAGTGGGTTTTACAGAATCAAAAACTAGTCAGTGTGGATGGACTTAAGACTATCCCTGGGGCAGAGTGACAGTAGAGTGACATGATGAGACATGGCCTTGGCTCTGGGCTTCGTCAGTGGAGCTTGCTGCTGGGGTCAAAGAGGGGGTCAGAGTCTTCCCTACAAACAGCAGATCTCACACAGTCAGCAAACATGTGTAAGCCGGAAGTGGTGTCTTCACATGTCACTGTCTGTGTTGACTTTTCAAAAAGCATTTTCGTTTTTGTTTACATTTACTTGTTCTCTTTGTCTCTTGTCTCTTGTCTCTCTCTCTCTTTCTCTCTCTCTTTCTCTCTCTCTCTCTCTCTCTCTCTGTGTGTGTGTGTGTGTGTGTGTGTGTGTGTGTGTGTAGGTCAGAGGACAACTTTGTGGAGTCAGTTCTCTCCTTCTACCATGTAGGTTTGGGGCTCAAACTCAGATCATCAGACTTGGAGTCAAGAGCCTTTACTGGCTGAAACATCTCACTGGCCTGTGTGTTGACTTTTTAAGACTCAAAAATCAGTTGTGCACGTCAGTATAATAGTATGAGAATACGCTTGTATATGTAAGAAAGGCAACAACATACACTGAATTCACCATTTTTGAACCAGCAGCTTCAGCATGTCCATTTACAGAAAGTACAATCAAATACATACAAGAAAACCTAAGTCAAAATTAGTTACTTGAATGCTGGCAGTAGTGGCACATACCTGTAATTCTAGCACTTAGGGGGCAGAGGCATTTGATCACAAATCCAGGCCAGCCAAGGTCACACATTAAATTCAAGGCAGCCTTGGACTCCTAGTAAAAACCTGTCTCAAAAAAAAGGCAAAAAACAAATACGGTCTGGCAGGGTAGCTCAGCAGCCCAGCACTTACCTGGCATGTGCGAATTATAGTTTGGTCCCCAGTTCCGAAAGGAAAAAAAAAGCCTAGTTAACATTTAATTTAAATATTATTTTCCTTGGGACATTGTCCCCAGATGTCACTGACATTCTGTTCCCATTCTGAGTCAGGCACTCATTCTCTCTGGCACTACCTTTCCTGCGCCTGCCTCCCGCACAAACATTTTAGTTATCGGTTTGCGTGTCTGTCCTCTTCAGACTGCAATCCTCGAAGATAAATTCCTTGTGGTTTATTTGTACTCTTATGTTCTGGTGTGACTTGAGTGAAGTCTCTGTCGTCAAACAGACACACTCTGATTCTCAGCTCATCCCAATTCAGCTCCCCTGTTGTCTGTGGGGGCCGGACAGATTCCTTAGAACCTCAGGCTCCCCTAGCAAACTAACTATAACGATGGTTCCCAGTCATAGGATCATTTCAGGATTACATGACATAGAGTCTAGCACGGTGCCTGGTGTATGGTGGTGCCCCCCCCCAAAGCCTTGCCCAGTGGGCGCTAGCCTTACTATTGCTATACAAGGCCTGCTTCTCGGTCACCTCAGCCCTCTCTTCTCCATGTGCCATGGAGATCATTTGTGCTGTAGCTACTGGAGAGCAAGGGAGAGCAACAGTTTGGAGGCCAAGTGACCTGGGCTCCAATTTCTTAATCGTATACAAGGCACCTGCTCTCTGAATTCGTTTCCACCTGTGACACGGAGCACTATATGCCCCACATCCTTAGCTTGCTATGAAGAGTCCATGAGATTATAACGTGGTATAAAGTACCCAACATATGACAGGTGTTCTACTGAGCACATTTTAGTTTCAAGTCCATCCTTATTTCTCCACCCAGTATGGCTCATTTGCCTTCTCCCCTCTGCATATCTAGACACTGTCTTCCAACACACAACTCCAGCTCCACCTCACCCTGCGAGCGTCTCCCACCATTTTGAGCCACCTTGCTCTTATAAGTGTAGGCTATATCACTCTTCTGACTTTGCTGACGCTTTACATTGGTCATTTCTCCAATAAGTCAATGAACCTCCCCTGGATTACAGACTCTTCTGATAAAATGATATCTCTTTGGCTCTCTCCTCAAATATATGCATAGATACAAACAATTTCAAGATACCACGATTCCTTAAACCTCTGGCATTGATCGAGGCCTCCCTTAGTGTAACGGCTATAGTGGTCTGATCATCTCTTGTGCTGAGGCTGCAGAGGGCACAAGGAGGGCCAGTTGACAAACCTCCTGCCTTCAGAAGGTAGGCAGAGGCAGCAGTTCCAGAGAAGATGTGAGATGCTTGTGACAGTGAGGACAAGCCACGAGGCTTCGGTGGCATCTCAGTCCACAATTCCTCCAAAGCACATTTCGAATCTCCCCTCTGATTCCCCAGGGTCAGAAACAAATCCTGGACAGTACCTACAGACGCAGAAGAGTGACAGCAGAAAGCTCCCCTCCTGCACTGCAGACACTGCTCAGTTCAGAGAAGCCAGAAGAGCCCCTTGTCCTCATCCCATCAGGCCCATGGCCATAACTGCCCTTGGCTTCCCTGCCATGCGCTGCCCACTCGAGGGGCTGCCTTCTTGGCTCAACTGCAATTGCCTTTGGAGTGGGGATGAAACAGTTCACGTTTGTCTCTGCTAATGGGAAATTCTTTGGGTTCAGTTGATCTGTGATGCCCATTCTAACAAGAGAGGAGCTGTAAGCAGAAAGCCATAATTCTAGCCTTGGCCTCAAGCAGCCAACGCTGGGACCAGGGTAAGACCACTTGTCCTTAGAATCCCGGCACCCTTCTTCACACAACTTGGTGGTCTCTCCCAGAACTGACGCCAGACGATCGTGAGACTGCCATGACTCACAGTTGGAACTAACAGATTTTCTGAAACACAAGAAATGTATGCGGAATGGCCTGGGAGACTGGTTTTAATGGTTCGATCATT